GCCTGCCAAAACAAGAGTCTAAATTAATGACATTATATCACATTTCAACACTGGTGTCTAATGGAAATGCTTTCACACATCATCAAATATCTGTATTTTGCTCATGTCTCATTGCAGCCTGTAGATGGCGACAGACTCAAAGTGGGATTACAGATCAACAAATCTTTGCATTTTAAACTCAGTATAATGGAGTTTCTGCATCTAAAGACATTAAGAAGGAGCTTTACCTCGAGACTGATGCTTCTTACAGAGAAACAGTAATAAGAGACCAACGATGATCAGAACCAGAAGAACCAGAACCAGAGAGACGATCAGAGAAGAGCCTGAAAACACAGGAGATGAAACAATCAGATCTGATCACTCTGAGCTGAATATCTGATCAGATCACGGGCGTAGCTTGATGTTTGGGACAGGAGTGACCAGAGCATGATACTGGGCTTGCAGGTTATAGGTTTCACGTTGAACATTCACACAAGCGGTGTAAATAATGTTCTTGTCTTATACTCAGTTATGCTCATGTGTAGCTGAATGTGCCTTTTTGAGCACAGAATCACTCTAAACAGGCTCTGTTTAAAGAAACTGTGACCTGTGAAAAAAAAAATATATATATATACCACAACATTTTGTTTTTTCAGGATGGAAATGCTAGTTAAGCGTTATAAACCTTATCCTTGAGCCCGTGAAAAGTCTGTGAGCCACTGAATGTCAGGTATCCATTTATGCCACACAAACAGCAGCTGTTGTCTTGATAGACCACAAGCAGCAAACTACAGAATGCTAAATCAGTTCAATAGATCTAATATCAAAACAAGAATGAGTGGATGCTTGTTAGTATTATTATTTTTTATACATCAATGATTTAAATTTATTAAATTCAACTATTTATTGTATAGTTGAAAATCTAATATTTTTTTTTATATTTAGTAATATCTCTCTGGTGTCAGAGCTGCTCACAAGTTACACCATAAATCACATGTTTGTGTTTCAGCACCTGCTGGTGTAAAACTAGATGGAGACGATTTAGAAACTCCTGTGATCAGTGGAGTCCTGACTGATGAGAAAGAAGAAGAAGATGATGATGATGAAGATGTTGGTTGTGGTGAAGTTGTTTCTGAAACATCTGTATATAAAGCAACAAAACAATTAATTTCTAAAGGATGTTTTTTCACACACAGAACTTGGCATCACGTGTCTCGTGGTAAATATAAGTGTTACTGATGTCATTCACACACTCACTACCCAGAATTCATGTTTGCTGATACAGAGACACTCAGAATTTAAAACCGCGAGCTGTTTGTTTGAGTTCCAGTAAGTGAAGTCTGTGGTTTCTCAGTGAATAATAGCAGGTTACTGGACGAGCATCTCTAACTGCAGCTTCTTAATTATAGAACAAGACTGGTTCAGTGACTCTCAGGAGCACAAACACTGCTCTAATACTGCATTCAGATGAGCACACTTCAACTAGTTAAAAACTACAGTAACACTGTGTCCAAAAGATCAGTTAATGCTGCTGCTTTGAGTCCAGATCTGCAGAACTGGACATTTAAAGAATGAAGAATGAAACACACAAACACTGTCCTCTGCTTTACTCTGTGTTCAGTTTCTCAACAGCAACATTGATCAACAGAAAACTGCACTTTAACCTGCACAGACTGCAATCATGAACCTTTATAAGGAAACTTCCTCTTTTTAACTGTGGTTTGTGGTTTTGCTCTGTTAAAAAGACAGAACATCTCAAATTAACCTGCTGGTAAACCTGTATGAACAGAATCAGTTCTCTTCAAAACAGCATGAACACTTTCTTTACACAGTCAAGCAACATGATACAAGACACACCGTGAAGCACGTTTTTATTTTTAATCACATTCTGATTAATATGAGTGAGAAAACCATCCGCACCTGTGACGCTGATGAGGACTCGAGTGATGAAGCTCTTGTGTCCTTGATCAGACTGAACTCCACACCAGTATTCAGCTGAATGTTGTTGAGTCACATGACTGATGGTTCCCGTCAGGAGATGCTGCTCTCTGTCATCATACAGCTGCATCTGTCCCTCAGCGCTCCATCTTCTGCTCTCCTCCACAGACGTCTCTTCAGCACAGAGATCAGATCCAGATCTCCTGCAGACAAACTTCACATCAGCACTGTGGGATTGTGGGTATTTGCAGCTGATGTTCACAGATCCTCCTGCAGCAGCTGAGAGACTGATGCTCTTCTCACAACAATCAGCTGTTCGAGAGACAATTCAAGTGCAGCAATGTTAGAATTAAACAAGAGATTCATCAATTCACCACAGAAACAAATGAAAGCAGCTCAGCCTTCTTAACGTCCAGCTTAAATTCAGAGAAGAGACTGTAGTCTTCAGAAACTTTGACTATAATCAGAGGTGGACAATCCAGGGGTCAGAAAGTAAAAGTCCTGCCATATTTTTATTCCAGCCATGAACTCAGCAGCTGATTTCACCAGAGGAGGAACCAAGTCATTCCTTTCAGATCACAAACCAGTCTCCAGTCATATCCCAAGTCCTCAAAGAGTTAAAGTTAATGAGATAATTAAGTGACTAATTAAATGATGATTGTGCATTAGTGATGAACAGCTGCTGTTATTGAGAATTACAGAGGATCAGATGCTGATGTTTTATTGGTTAAAATGATGGCACCATCATGGAGATCAGTGTTTGCTTTAGTTGGGTTCTTGACCCTTGACTGCTTGTGTTACATCTCTATAATAATGTTTGAAGTTTAATAACGCAGTGAGATCAGTGCTGTGCAGTTAACAGACACTGACCTATTTAAATCTAAACTACTAATTGTTTGTTGTTCAATTACATGCAATGATTTTGAATAACAAATCTTGTGAAACCATAACGTGCAATGTAAGCATTGCTATTTTAATTGAGTTAATCTTACACATATGTAATGCATATAAATATTTGAGCGCTTGTATTATTGAGATACACACAGACATCAAGAACCAGCTTATGAATCTCAACAATGGTGACAATGACCAAAATGCTTCATGCTGCAATGCATGCTGGGTAACACCATAGAAAAACTCCCATCTTGCACTGCAGTATGAATAATTATGGTCACCACTGTTGAGGATCGTATGATAAGTGTTCAAGTCTAAAAGCCTGAGCAACATACTTCTTATTTTTTCCAATATGTACACAGTTCAGTGACATTTGTTGATTAGAACTTAATTGCAGTTCTGAAATAGCTGAATGTCAGTCAATAAACCAAAGAAAGACAACTTCATGACATTCATTAAAGTGCTTTAAAAAGCCGAAAGAGTAAGCACATTGTAATGCAACAATGTGCAGATGCACAAACATGTGTTGTGAAACAATATTGCAATTGCTTGAAAAAACACCACTGTGCCTTACTGATAGGGTCAAGAACCCAACTAAAGCAAACACTGATCTCCATGATGGTGCCATCATTTTAACCAATAAAACATCAGCATCTGATCCTCTGTAATTCTCAATAACAGCAGCTGTTCATCACTAATGCACAATCATCATTTAATTAGTCACTTAATTATCTCATTAACTTTAACTCTTTGAGGACTTGGGATATGACTGGAGACTGGTTTGTGATTTGAAAGGAATGACTTGGTTCCTCCTCTGGTGAAATCAGCTGCTGAGTTCATGGCTGGAATAAACATATGGCAGGACTTTTACTTTCTGACCCCTGGATTGTCCACCTCTGACTATAATCATATATTCTCCAGAATCGTTCACATTCAGCTCTCTGAAAAACACACGTAAGAGACGTGCAGATCTGTCATCATGAACGGAGAATCGGCCGACATGTTTCCATTCTGCTGCTCTGTCTGTGTTTATTAGAGTTATACATTGATATGATCCAGTTACACAGACGTCTGTCAAATAATTATTTTCTAGCATCTTATATTTGTAGTTTATAATGATGTTTCCTCCTGAATATACTCACAGCACTGATTTGTTCACCTGTTAAACACAAATCCAGATAAGTGAACTCAGTGAACACATATATTACAGTCAGTGTTGAGTGTGTGATGTTGATGATCATCATGAGTTTGAGAGTCTCAGTTACTCACCTGTTACAACATTTAGATTCACTTCAGTGTAACGATCTGGTCCTAGTTTCTCAACTCCACAATAGTACGTCCCAGAATCCTGTTCACTCAGATCTCTGAAGGTCACAGTGAAAACTGCTGCTCTTGTGTTGACATACAGTGAGAATCTTCCAGAATCAACCCATTTGCTTTTCTTAACAGTCTTGATGAGTTCAGAGCATGTGGACCACTCTCCTCTACAAAAATACTTTGCATTTTTCTTATATTCTCTATCATATCTGCATGTGATGATGACTCCTCCTCCTGAATATCCTCTCACACTGATGGAGCTCACGACACCTACAAAATAAACCAGCATCTCAATGTATTCACTAATGTATTCATAAGACTGAACAGAGATGAACTTTCAAATATCTGAAGTTAAAATCTCTGCTGTTTTGAGTGATTTACTGTGAGTTCAGATTCTTACCAGGAATCATCAGCAGAGTGAACGTCCAGATGATCTTCATTCTTCTCTCTTACTCAATGATCTTCTCTGTAGTTAGTAGATTCAGTTCTTCTGAAGCTCTCGATGTCTGTATCTCTTTTATCATATCTGCATGTGATGATGACTCCTCCTCCTGAATATCCTCTCACACTGATGGAGCTCACGACACCTACAAAATAAACCAGCATCTCAATGTATTCACTAATGTATTCATAAGACTGAACAGAGATGAACTTTCAAATATCTGAAGTTAAAATCTCTGCTGTTTTGAGTGATTTACTGTGAGTTCAGATTCTTACCAGGAATCATCAGCAGAGTGAACGTCCAGATGATCTTCATTCTTCTCTCTTACTCAATGATCTTCTCTGTTGTTAGTAGATTCATTTCTGCTGAAGCTCTCGATGCGTGTTCAGATGAGTGTTTCCTGGAAACATCTTAAACAAGAACAGCTGAATGAACTGCCCACTTCCTCCGAGAGAGAGAGAGGGAGGGAGGGAGGGAGAGAGAGAGAGAGGGAGAGAGAGAGAGAGAAAGAGGGGGAGGGAGAGAGAGAGTGAACAGTGACACCTGATGAACAGCAGTCCCCATGGTCATCTCACAAATGTAGTCTCTGATTGGTTAATTATATATTACAGTGAAAATATCAGTTACACTTTAAGATATTAATTTTATTATTCATCCGAACATCATTAACATGGAGACAATTTGAAGACTCAATACACATCATTTATGTTTCCGTTTGAATGACACTTGCATTTCAATTATTAAACTTCATTACAATAAGTTAAATAAAATAACATTCAATATCATATAAGTGAAAGCATATTCATAAAACTCACTGTCTGTTTTCCACAGTCTCTTTGTTTGAATGACTCTTTCACTCCTTCAGTGAATCTGGTCTCTAAAGGGACTCATATGAGACACATCGGAACAAAACCTGCAGGAAACCACAAACCATGACGACAGTCTGACACAAATAAAACTAAAGTGAAGTGTGAAAGTATCAGCATTGAGAGTCAGTCAGAGTTCAGCTGAACTCACCAGAATAGAGTGATAATCTATTAGTATTGAGAGCAATAACTGTAAAAGAGGTTTTAACATTTATTTGCATTTAAAATGTAATTCAGGGACCTTCAGGTTTAACTGTGAAGGAGTGTGAAGACATAAGCAGCTAAACATTTAATAGGTCTATTCAACAACTGTTTGACCAACAAAAACATCCAGTGATGCAAGCTACTCTGCTGTTTGTCACAATTAACGTTTTGAATTGGAGATGAAGACTGCTATGTGTGGGATTCATGTAATTCATTGCTAAATGTGGCGAGAAATTACATTTACTGGTAAAGCAGCATTCACACATACATTTCAAATCAATTATGTGACGTCAGTAACCAGAAATGTCCTCTAAACAGCTCCCGGTGTTGTGTTTGTAAACATGGAGTGTTTTAGTTGATGCAGCTATTCACACTCATGCAGCTATTGCAGAAAAATCACATTAGACGACTTTACACATTTCTTTGTCTCCCGTAAACAGTGCAGTATAAATGCGTCATCTGCGTCAGAATGTTACTCTCTAAAAAATGCTGGGTTAAATACAACCCAGTGCTGGGTAAAATAGGGACAAACCCAGCAATTGGGCTGTTTTGACCCAGCGGTTGGGTTAAATGTTTACCCAACCATCTGGGTAGTAACCCAACTACTGGGTCAAAATAACCTAATTGCTGGGTTTGTCCCTATTTTACCCAGCACTGGGTTGTATTTAACCCAGCATTTTTTAGAGTGTATGATTAGCCCAGAGTAGACGTCTTACGGCAGCACGTTCTGAACTCATACGTGCTCATACGGTAATCTTGTGCTGTGTTCACACAGAGCACATTACCGGTAATTTTACAGCTTCTCATACCGGTAAATTGAAAAGGTCCTGTTCACACATGATCTCTTAACAATAATTTACCAGTAGGCTACTTTATGTGTGAAAGTGGCTAATGTCAATATACACACAATACATTGTCAAAAAACACATACTCTTTTCCTTCAAGTTCTGCAAGAAGTAAATTACCTCATTTTTTTTATATACCACATTTATATACCACAACTAGCATAACTGATACATCAGGGAGTTTGAGTTACAACACAGTAAATTCCCGAGTGTTAAATGAACACTGCTCGGATCATATATGGTCCCACTCTAAAAGAGTGTTAAAGTAACACTGAAGCAGTGTTAAAGTTAATGAGATAATTAAGTGATTAATTAAGTGCCGATTGAGCATTAGTGATGAACAGCTGCTGTTAACAAGCAGAATCACTGAAGAAAAGAGAAACACAAGAACTACAACTGACTTCAGTCACAGCCTTAGATGAAATACTGAAATAAGAGAAGACATTAAATCTCTCAAGATCTCAGCAGAAGATGATTAATCATCTCCACAAACAGCATCACCAGCTTCACACATTACTAACCAGTTTGACTTTTTGTTTGTCATTCGTCTAAAAATGTCTTATTTTCAATAAACATTAACATCTAAATCTCTGATCATTCTTAATAAGACAATTTGAAGTCACCATTGTGGAGATAAGTGTTTGCTTTAGTTGTGCTCTTGACCCTTAACTTATTAACATTAGTTTTTCTCTGAATGCTGTAACTGTGTTTATGAAACACATTGATTATAGTAAGATAAACCAAGAGAAAATTGATTTAGATTACATAGGCTGCTTTTTTTATAGTGTCATAATTGTCCTGTTGTAGCAGGTTTACTGATGACATCAGTGGTAATGAGTACTATAGATTGTTATTGATCACAACTGCACATGATGAAATAATATGAAGAGCTTTAAAAACACTTTGTAATTGAAACCTCTCTATAAGTCATGTTTATAAAAATCACTTACAAAGTTTTTCTCACATTGTTATCTCACATTACTGCAACAACATAGAAACCATAAAAGCTCTACAGTTTTAGATGAAATGCAATCAGAGACTCTGACACGTGACATGATTGTACCATAAGTGTCTAGCCATCACACCTCTCTCTCTCTCTCTCTCTCTCTCTCTCTCTCTCTCTCTCTCTCACTCCCTCTTTAACACTGCTTCGGTGTTACTTTAACACTCTTTTAGAGTGGGACCATATATGCTCTGAGCAGTGTTAATTTAACACTCGGGAATTTACTGTGAAAGATTGACACCAGGCTGGTCAGACCCCTGTGTTATAAGAAGGCAAATGTGTTCAAATCTGAGCATCTGCATTCTTTCTCCAGTGTTTCTGGTCAAACACACCTGATCTCACTCCTCAGATCTGTAGAGGATCTGGTGCTTCTGTCAGTTTAACTGGCAGCTGTGGTTTCAGCACCACGGACAGCAGCTGCCAATCAAACTTCAGCAGCACTGAAGACAGTTCAACAACACAAACTAGACTAAGAGTGAAAATCGGCTGCCTGTCTTTCATATCAGACTTTCACATCTGCACGAATGATGAGCACATGTGATCATCAAATACAAAAACTCGCATTCCTTCAGATTCACTTTTTCATTTGAAACACACACGAGGCATGTAAAATAGTGTTATTTATATTAAATTGAAATAAATAAAATCATGCTAATTAAACCCCACCTACCCTGTCAGCTATCATAACACTACACAAAGCTCATTTCATTACAGTTTTTGCCTATTGCTTGAACACTTTTTGCAAAACTTCGGCTCATTGTGTCAAAACTTTGCACACAAGACACAACACTGGGAAATAAACCATTTACATCTATGTGGAATTGAAACTCTGGTATCGAAAACTAACAATCCTTTGTCAAAATGTCACTCTGATGACAAAATGATACACACTTGCATCATATGAATACACTTTCAGATTAGCAGCAACACACTAGTGTACTTTATATAAAACACTGCAGTATTTAATTAATCTGTGAAGCTCAATGCAACACTTACAGTTTTTGTTCTGCTTTTTTCCAACAAAGGTTTTCACAACAACCAAAATGAAAGCACCGAAAGGTTACAAATGACATCAACTCAATACGGCACATCACAGTACTATACTTTACAGTACAGTACATGCAATAATGCAAAAATAATACAAAAATAAAACACAAAATACACTACTGTAAATACAGAAAAACAGGCCAATTGTGCAGTAAGTGTTTTCAGGTGTGTGTCTAAGTGTTTTCAATCACCCAATGTGTGTTGTATTTTGAATAGATGTGTTTTCGCAATGGTACCCATGAGATTTCATTTATGAACGAAGTGTCTTATGTATGAAATAGTGTGTAGTGTGCAGGAGCAAGTGTGTTGCAGAATTGCAACTGAAGTGCAAAGCAGCGCTTTTGTTTAAGGTATGGTTACACTGTGTTTAAGGTATAGTAACAAAAGCTTCAAGTTTTGCTACTTTGGTCTAAGCATGTGTCTATAGTGTTCAAGCAATAGGCAAAAACTGTAAAACCAAGATATTTAACAGGCAATTACTCACTTTTGCCACTAGATGGAGCCGGAAGTTTCAGTCGGGCATCTGGTGAACAGGAAGTTACAAACACAAACTCTAATCTAATAACTAACGGGACTAATAAAAGATTAATCAAATAACTAAAAGCTGATTTAAAATACTCTTTACACTGAATTAATCCTGCAGTGAGAGCAAAAGGTCAAAACAGCCAGCAGATTGGACATTTAACATGCAAACACCATGCAAACATCTTATAACACACTGCTTCATAACTGCAGTTGGATGGACTTACTAGCTGAAATAAGTCTTGTGCTTCCCTTTGATACTGTAAAAACTAAAGTCATTACACATGCAACAGAAGCATCTGTGTGTATTTCTGACAACCAGAATAAGACCTTCTGAAAGAAGAACTGCAATACATTATAAATAATATTTTTTTTTATAATATTACGCAAATTCACAACATCTCTTCATGGAGTGGAAAGTCTGTGTCCACCGTCATTTCCTGTTTTTATCACACCTGCGGGTGTCTGAAGCACATAATGGCTCAAATAAAAGAATATAAATAGCATGAGCAAAACCACAAAAAAACCAAAAGCTGGAGAGCAGCACATGTTAGTTTCTCTTAAGCACACTGACCACATATTGAACAAACCTACAAAACCTGACAAACACCCCACAGCATTAACAAACACAACTCACACTATATGCAAAATAGTTTGATTGTTTGAAATGAATCATTTTGATGTTTTAATGTATTACACTGAAAACATTAAATGCATAATGTATGATGTAGGAGTTTTATGATTTAAAAAATTTCAACTTTCAACTTTCAATTTTTTCAACATTTACAGGATGCTTGAAGATATTCTGTCATTGATTTGAAGGCTCATTATATTTGTTTAATTTGATCTGTTTTTAAAAGTAACATTTTTATATCACACATGGATAATTTGTCGATCACAATTGTTATCTTCAGTCTTTTCTTCATTAATCAGTAAATGTTGAAGGTGAATGACTGAATACCTGCAGTAAAATGAGCAGTTTTTAGTCTTTGTCTTTTGCTCACAAACGATGTTCTGCTTATTGTTCAGTGTTATGCGCCTCATTGTGGGTTTCCTGAATGCGTCTGTGGCTTTGAGGTGTTCAGAAAACAGCCTGTTCATCACACAAACACAAACACCAGCGTTCATGAAACACTTAATGACAAAAATATAGTCAACACCTTTTTTTACATTTTGAAAGGCTTTTAATAATAATGAAAAGTTATCAACAATACTAATAGTATAGTGTTTAATGTTAATGCCTTGTAACAAGTGTTGGTCTTCAAATTTCACAGATCATCACGTAAAGCCACCAGAGGGGATTGTGAGAAGGTGAGTAGAGGAATAAATCGTATCTGCTCCAGAATATAAGTGAGAATCTGAGATTAAACATGACGTGCAGAATGAAACTTACAGATGAAACACACAAGAACGTCAGTGCATGAAGATACAGACTCACCACTTCAGTGTCGTCTGCGACCGCCTGATGATGAGCTCATCCCTAAGATCTCAACACAACATCACAGATACACAATAGTGAGATACATTCTTAGGACATTCTGGTTGACCTCATGTTGTAAAAACACCATTCATATACATCCCCCTTCCTTTATTTTTCACATTTTGGGTTAGTCTGTAGGTCTATTAGACATAATCTGCCTTCTAGATAAACATGTGTGTGTTTATGAAGGCGAGCATCACCTTTACACACAGTCACAGTGAATCCTCCTCCGACCAGCAGCAGAGTCGAACACAAAGAAATTATGTTCAGCAAAGAGAAATCTGAAAACACAGAAACACATTACGGAGAGACAGAGCGTATTAAAATGTATTTAAATACACAAAACAGCCAACACTCGTGGCAAATATACACCGTTGTGAATGAATATAAAGTGAAATCTGAGCTGTAGTATATTTACAAACTGTGTTAATTAAAACTGTATCAAGCATCGAAGTTTTGAACTTTGAAATCTTCCTGATCATCACACCAAGGTGGATAGATAATGGAGGAAGCCTTATTCATCTCACATTCAATGACTGAAATTACACAAACGTGTAGGGCATGCACAAGCATGGGGATGCACTGATGCCTCCTGTTGAAGAGACGCTTGTAAGCGATTTTTCAGTGGGAGAATAATTGACGTTGGAGAACTCTGCCGTCTAAACTGCTGAGTACTACATTGTATTTGAATGTCAGAACATACATGGCTGCAGGTCAGGCTGGAGGTGCGTTGCACATCATGCCGGTGTTACAGGCCTAACAGTCAGACCTGCTCTTTTGCCTGATGTAGTAACTGAGCTGCGCTGGATCACAAATTGTAGAGATGATAGTTCAGAGAGGTGTAGGTGTGGTTTTAAAAATTCATACATGATGCTGCCTCCCCAGGACGAGTTCTTAGGTAGGCAGCTCCTTCTCACGTCATGTGATACACTAAGGTGAAGCTTATGATCAGATCATGATCAGACCTCTGAGCTCTGTGCATGGGATGGGCACTGGCACCCACCCCAGTAAGGAAGGGATTAAATGCCAGGACTTTCCTTGCAATGGGTTTGGAGATTGGGGTTTGGCCGTAGGGAACTGTATCACTAACAGTTCCATGACAGACTTGAGTGAGGGAATCTGATTCTGGCATCTAGGTCCACTGAATCCTTGTTTGGTGCTTGCACAGTCAATAAGGCAATCATTCCCTCAGCATGGCACAGTGGGCATTCTCTAACCCCAGGGGCTTTCAAACCTGTCCTGGAGGACCCCCAGCACTGCACATTTTGTATGTTTACCTTATCAGACAAACTCAATTCAGGTCTTGCAATCTCTACGAATGAGCTGATGCGTTGAATCAGGTGTTAGATGAGGGAGACATACAAAACATGCAGTGCTGGGGGTCCTCCAGGACAGGTTTGAAAACCCATGTTCTTCCCCATAGTGTCCTGGGACGCAGTGCGACTTCCCATTCGAAAGGGAATGTCTCAGGTTACATATGTAACTAACCATGGTTCCCTGAGAAGGAACCTGGTTACATGCATAGCCTGAGACGCTCTTTTAACTTGACACGCCGTTGTAAAAACACAGTGCTCATGCACGAGACACTGGGAAAGCATAAAATACAAACAAGTCAACAAGTCAAATACGCAAATTTATATAGAACATCAAATCAAAAGCAGTGCAGTACAATGCAAAATATGTTATTTTTACTTTATTATCAACAAAATGATACATATCAACACTAGAGAACGTTATACATTACAACAAAAGGAGTAAAGAATCAGACAAAAAAAGAATGGCAGATAACAATCAATTTAATGTGTTTGACCAATAATTGGACTATAGAAAAATATATATTGTAAAGGTAAACAAGACATCCTTATTTAATTTGATCAAAAACCTGTTGTGTTCTGGTGAACAAAGTCATAAAACCCTATTTTATTTGTTAAGTGATGAGTATAAATCTTAAAAAAAGATAAAGAGCTTACCCATTTTAACAGTGAGACTGACTTTAGTGATGACGTGAGGTCCACACCAGTATATCCCAGAATCCTCTTCTCTCAGATCAGTGATGTTCACAGTAAAGACTCCAGAAGATGCTTCATCACTGAAAGAGAATCGATCATCTCTGATCGTCTCCAATGAAACTCCATCCTTCACACACATGGAGGCTTCATGTGCTTTGCAGAAGCTCTTCTGATCTTCATCATGATGTTTGCACTGGATTGACACGTTGTCTCCTTCATACTTAGTCAAGTTCAGCTCTGGAAATGTTTACAGACACAAGAACATCAATTCACATCCGTAGTTTCACATATTCAGATGCAGAAACCTTCCTCACCCTCATTCATGATGACGATCAGATGAGTGTAAAGATAATTGAGGTCTGTTTCTAATGTCACTGCACACCAGTATTTCCCAGCATCCTCTGCTGTCAGTCCAGTGATGGTCCCAGTGAAGACACGTGCAGTGACGTTATCATTCAGAGTCAATCTGCCAGTCTTGCTCTCTTTCTCTTCTCTCACAGTCTCACTGAGAGTATTTCTGTCTCTAGTGGAGCACGAAGCAGCTCAGAGACACTCAAACAATTTAATTAAACAATTCAAGAGATAAATAATGAAACCAAGCGTCACCTCGTCTCTTGTGTCTTAATCTGCACACAGTCAGAGTGAATCCACCCATCAGCAGCAGAATCACACACACACTAATAATGAAGATCACGGAGAAATCTGAGAATAAAACACAAACACACAGTCCAGAGATGAATGATATTATAGCTACACAATTATTAAAATGTATGATGCTCATGTATAGAACTCAGTTTGTAATGTTTGATGACCCGTGATCTCTGTCATTAAGGGACTAGTTGTGGATTCTCTTTCGTGTCTCACTGCTGGAGGCACTTTTAACAAACAAGCATGAACATTTAACACGCACAATTTGTGTTATTGAATGTACTCTATCTATTCAAGTGAAATCATCTGAATGGACTCACTGATGAGGTTGAGCTGAATTTTAGTGTTCAGGGAGATGAAAGTCAGATATGTGTCTCTGGTTTCTGCTCCACACCAGTAAACTCCAGCATCTCTCACACTCACATTACTGATGCTCACTCTAACAACTCTCTCTTCATTTCTCTCAGATGAAGGATTCATTTCTGTCACTTTAGATGAGCTGATGGTTTGGCAGATGTGATTAACATCCTCTTTGCAGAAATGAACTTCATGTTTCTCTGGGATCTGACAGGTGATGTTGACTTCTCCACCAAGATACACAGATTCAGTCACACTCTTTGGATATGCAGCATCTATAAACCAAGATAAATTATGTAAACATCTGAAAATATACTTGCAGAACATACAAAGAACTTGAGTTTGCTCACCGTGTTTGGGGTGCAGCTGAAGTTCAGTGAAGCTCTCAGTATAGTCAGATACTTTCACTCCACACCTGTATGTTCCTGCATCTGCAGCTTTCAGCTCTCTAAAAAACACCATCAAGACTCCTGCTCTGGTGTCGTCATATAAAGAAACATCTCCATTCTCCATCCATTCATCCTGAACTCCTGGATTCTTCCTCTCTGAACATCCGTCTGATTCTTTACAGATGTATTTTGGGTTGGTTTTGTATTGAGGATGTTCACACTTGATCATCAAACCACCTCCTGAGGAGCCGCTCACTCTAGACACGCCCACTTTAGCTGTCAATCACAAATATCTGACAGAATCATTGACTTCATCGAATACAAATTCTTAACAATAATTGAAGTGGCAAACACTGATATATTAACTTATGCTAGATGACACAGAGAGTTTATTCTACTCACTCATAATGTGTAGGTGAACAGTAGTACTAATGGAGTATGATTGTCTGTTGATCCAAACTCCACATAAATAAACTCCTCCATCATCTGGTGTCACAGCAGTGATTCTCACACTGAAGATGTGTTTATGTCTGTCATCAGAAATACTGAATCTTTCTTCCTCATTCCATGTGTCAATGGAGTTGTGTCGTTCTTTGAATATGACTTTTGCATCATTAACATGATTCTGTGAATATTCACAGCTGAAGGTAGCAGTTTCTCTACTCTTTACCACCACTTTCTTTGACACCACACAGCATGAATCTGTCATTCAAATAATAAAGAAATATACTTTACAATGATGTACCTTTAAAATTAGAAGTTGCATTACACACTTGAATTGCTTACCTTTTTTTACATTCAAAGTTATATCTATATACCATTTGCCAATAACCCTAATTCTGTATTTTCCAGTGTCCTGTTGGTTCAGTTCTCTGATGAATATCATGAGTTTTCCATATTTGCTGCGAAAAAGAATGAATCTTCCTTCACTAGTCCATTCACTGTGTTTCTTGTAATTTATTATGGTTCTCCATGGCTCATGTTTAACCATATATTTAGCAGAGTCACTGGACCAAAGTTTCCCAGAATCAACAAGAACGCTTCCTCCAGAATATCCCGTGACGCTAAAGCATCTCACTGCAGCTGTCAATCAGATTGATACTGTGATCAGAAAGCTGATGAACAGAAAACAGCATCATTACTGCAGTGATGAAAGAGAAAAGCTCTCACCTGAGATCAGGTAGAAAGTGAGGAAGATGAGGAGGATCTTCATTGTGAGTTGAGTTCAGTCTTCTTTATGCTGAATGATCTCTGTGTGAATCTCTCTGTCTCTACATCTGTCTGCTTTAGTTACTTCCTCTTTATTCAGCTCTTTATCAGTAATGAGCAGCTTTACTGGCTCCTCCCACCATCACCACTGACTGAACATCACATTAATCACACTGAAAGAGCGCCACCTAGTGCAGTTACACCGTCTGATACTGAGAGCTCAAACAGGTTTTATGTTCTCTATATAAAGGCACAATATGTAAGAATTTGTTATTAAAATATCCAAAAACCACTAGAACAGTGTTATATATTTTGCTGACTTGTGTACTTACATTATCTCAAATGTTTCGAAGAGTGTTTAAATCCAGAGAAACAAGCAATTTTAACTAGTGACACGGAGCGTGTCTATAGTGTCATTGTGTCGCCTGCCAATGACGTCAT